GGATACCTTTTTGGCTCACAAATACCAAATAAGGCTCCCAAATCCTGTCATGCTGAGTCACTGGCAACGCACAGAGAGCCCTGTCAAAAGTCCTACGCGTTCTAGTAATCAACTTCTGTTCTGTCAGGGTTTGCGAGTACATTATCCATATCCTGGGCATCTTATGCATTGTAACAAGAGCTCTTTCAAACGTATTGTTAAGGGTGTCATACTTGGGGTGAGTAACGGGTAGATTTCTAACAATTTCAAGGCGTTCTCGCAGATACGCATGCCATAGCTTGTAGCTACCAGGAAGAACTTTAAGTGCGCGTTCATAGATTATGAAACGGTTACTGAAGGAAGCTTCTGACTTAGCAATCAGATATCGCCACCACAACTTCAGACTAAAAGGGTTGCGTAAGATCTCCTCCTCGTAGGGGAGGTCCTCTTGAGATGGGTAAAGTTCTTTTGAGATCGACAAAAAAAAGCCCTAAAACCTTCTCAGAAAGGTAGAGATACTGACCTGGTCGAAAATTAGGAAACAGAGATTCACTTCCCCAGACGCTTAAGCCCTAGAGCTACCGGCGCACATGGTGGTGCAAATGAGATGAAAACGAAGGAATAAGGTCGGCTAAGGACAAAAACGAAATCGAGGGGCCAAAGGAGAAACTAGACGTGAAAATCCCTAATGAGAGAAAAAAAAGAGGACTCTACAGGCTTTTCGGTCGTCGTTGGTGAGATTTCTCTGGCGGGGCTTTTGATTTTTTTGTTCTTCACAAGAAACGTTATTTTCTTGCTCAAAACATACAACAATGGCGCCTGCTTGATGCACTGCTCAAAAGTCCAAAATATCCTTCCCCTGCATGTTTAAATTTCAGAATCAAGATTGACAAAATGTTAATAATTCTTTCTGTATATTCTATTTGTTGTTAACTAGGTGGTCGATATGCTGAGAGTCGAGAAGCCGAAACGGCACGGAACGATGGAGAGCACGTGGAAAATGATTACGGAGAAGAAGGAAATGCCGTTATCGAGGCACCTGAAGAAATCAGAGACGTTCGAGGACACATGAGAGAATTAGGTGAACGCGGATTCGCTCGCTGAGCCGTCGCCGGTGGTGAAGAAATCGGAAACGTCCAAGGACCAGACCAATTTCCAGATGTCACCGATGCAAGTGAGCTCGTGGCCGGCTTCAGTATTGAAGCTGAGAAAGGAACCGTTGCTGAGTCAGGACGAGTAGAATCGACGAGTTGAGGCATTTATAAAGAAGTTCAACGAGGAGATGAGTTTGTTGAGGTTGGAATCGCTTAATCAGTACCAAGGAAATGATTAACCGTGTAAACCACTAAATTAACTGAGGAGTAATTAAGAGAACTAATTTTTACTAGTATCATATAGAGCAGATAAAGTGTGTTTTGGCCCTTTTGGGGAAAAGAAAAACATATTATTAATTCCAAAAAGACAAAGGGGAAAAGAACCGGAAATATGTTAATTAATTTTTCTAATTTTGTTTTCTCCAATAGGTTCAACGTTGGAGTTATTAAAAAAACAAAAGTCTTGAAAACTTTTTCCCTTTTTAACCTAGATTTCATAAGCAGATGTGGTTTGAAAATTGGTAAGATCATAGAAATGTTTGTAAAGGAATATAACAAGTAGGTGTAATGTGTTTCGTATATATGAGTGAAGTGATGTTTTTTATAATTATTTTATTAATATATTTATTTACAATATAATGTTTTGTAATTTTAATTACTTTGCACTGTAAAATACAAAATATATCACATTAAGAGGGTCTCCTTGCATCTAGGAGGCCTGTCCGAGTTATTGGTTTACATTAGGCACCCTAATTATTGCACTGTAATTCTTTTGGTATATAAATTCCATTTATTGTTAATTAGGCTTTCGATCACTGGGAGTCGCGAAGCCGAAACGACACGAGACGATGGAGAACACGTGGAAAATGACTACGGAGAAGAAGGCAATGCCGTTGTCTAGGCACCTGAAGAAATCAGAGACTTTGAAGGACACATGGGAGAATCAGGTGATCGTGGATTCGCTGGCTGAGCCGTCGCCGGTGGTGAAGAAATCGGAAACGTTCAAGGACCGGACCAATTT